AATCTATGGGGGAGACGTATGTTCAGCAGTGCCCTTTTAATAGGCTGTTACGGTAACGGTAAGTAGATATTATAAGCATTTGTGTATACGAGATTTTTTTTTTTTGTAAAATAAGGGTAACTTATTTTATAATATTGTACGTGGTAGAGCCATGCTGCAGCTATATTAATACGAGTAGTATAGTTGTAGCACGAATGGGTCGGCTCGACCGGGGAAGGACCACGCTCTTACAGAATACCAGCATATAATAGCAGCTCAACGCTGCTGTGTTTCGTATGGTGAGTGTAGAGAACCGGAGACCAGTTTTACTGGAAACGAGGCATTCCACCTTAGTCTCGCGGGTAACATGTGCATTTTGATTCGTCATCTAGGATATATTTAGATGTCTATGAGCCACAGAAACCACTTACCATCAGGTGGACTGTGTGCTCCTTTGTCACCTTTTCCCAACAAAAAAAAAGAGGTCCCAGGTTCGAATCCCAAATCGTGCCAAAACTCTTTAGTGGGTTTTTCTGTAAAGAAATTCTCAGTATCTGCCCGGAGTCAGTCAGTTGGCGATGTCTCACCCCCGTGCCTCGGAAAGCACGTAAAGCCGTTGGTCCTGCGCCTAATTTCTCTCCGGTCGTGTTGGATAACTGTCCCATCGGACTATGAGAGTGAGACAATAGAGAGTGCACCTGTGTTTGCGCATACACTTGTGCCCTATAATCCTGTCCTGCCACCATGACCGAAATTCGGTCAGGAGGACAATTGTATTATTTTATAATAATGACAAGGTGTCAATCCATAAGGAATTAATAAAAACAAATTTCCTTTAAAAAGTCACAGCCTGGCAGTGTCGCCATATTTTTTTTTCTATAGAAGAGTTGACAAAACAGCTTACCTGATAAAGTAAAATGGAGGTGTTAAAAAGAGACGTACATCTTCTTCTTAATTTAGAATATACCTACTTATAACTGAATATAAATGTCGTGGGGCAACTACATCTGTTACATCGTTAATACGTGGTAGAGCCTCGCTGCAGCTATATTATGGTTGTAAAACGAATAGGTCGGCACGAACGGGGAAGGACCACGCCCTTACGAACACCAGTATCAAATAGCAGCTTAATGCTGCTGTGTTTCGTATGGTGAGTGTAGAGAACCGGATACTCTTTTTACCTGAAACAAGGCATTCCATCTCAGTCCCCAGGGATGCCAACGCATTTGCATTTTGATTCTTAATTAAGGATCAATGTAGATGTCTATGGGGCGCAGTATCCACTTACTATCAAGTGGGCTGTATACTCGTTTGTCACCATTATTCCATAAAAAAAAACATCACACATCAATCAAATTCCATAGACATGACTTCACAAGAAAAAGATACACTAACTAGGCCGGAAATCCATAATTTCGCTATCGCTTTTCCGGCCTATCACGTCATATAGGTAAATAATAGAAAAATGACAAATTACTTGAACCCATAGGCTTTAGCAGGTTTGGTTAAAGCCCGGTCCGTAAACATTTAATATTATAAAAAGTTAGTTAGTTACAGCCTATATACGTCCCACTACTGGGCACAGGCCTCATTTCGGAGAGGGTTTTAGGGCAAGGAAATGTCCGCCGCGCTGCCCCAATGCTTGTTTACGAACTTCACATGTCTTCGAAAAAATATTTTTTTTCATATTTCTCAGACATGCAGGTGTCCTCACGATGTTTTCCTTCACCGCCGAGCACGTGGTAAATCAGCATTTAAAATTGCAATTAATAATTTCGTTGACGCCGGCGAGGATCGAACCCGTGTTCCTCGCGTATTGTGAAACTTACAGTGAGCACTAACCATCTGAGCTCCCAAGGCCCGACAAGTATTAGAACAGTTTATCAAAATTTCATTTTTACTTTTCCTTTGTTTCGGTTATGTTTTCCCTGCATTGTGGTGCTTTTAGCTGTAGTAAGGGTGGTTGTTAGGGTACGTAGTGACCAAAGTAACAATCGTTTTTCATGATCAAGCGTTAGCACTATAAAGAGTGAAAGGTTAACTGGACAAATCCAAGTACGCAGAGGCAGAGGGAAATAACAGTTGTCCTCCGTTATGCAAGAAGGTCTTTCTTTATCAGTATATAACCTAGTAATTAAAATACAAACTTAGTTAAAGAAATGTCTCGTTTATGTAATGCAGAAATACATTTTTTTCAACCTTTTATTTTACAAATAAAAGTTGATTGCATCTACATTTAAACACCCTTATCCTTTCCATCAATTATAAATAGTACGGTACAGTTACAGCCTACATACGTCCCAGGTGCTTTACTTAAACTTACAACTCAATTAAAATTGCAATTGACAATATATTTATTTATAGCATTTCTCACTAGCTGCTCCCCGCGACATTGCCCGCGTGTAATTTAGGGTTTTAATTATGTTGCGCGGAACCCTAATTATTTTTCTAACATATAAGTAGCCCAAGTTACTCCTTATAACATCAGCCATCTGCCAGTGAAAGTCCCGTCGAATATTATAATAGATTACAAGAAACTACAAACAATGTCATTAGGCATTCTCTACTAGTTACCAATTTCATTGGCGCCGGCGGGATTCGAACCGGGGTTGGCCGCATACTGTGAAATTTACAGCAATCGCTTAGCCTCCAAGCTACCAGGCGTCTGTATATTATTAGACATAAGAAAATTAAAAATACTTCGAGTATACTTAAGCAGTATTGTAGAAAGGAAATATATTTTTATTGCATTACGACATCATAATCAAAATATTTCATTGCACAAGAAAACCATCACCATCAATATGGTCACCACAAAACAAGCCCAGAAGCTGTTTTTTTTTGAGGGAAGACTAGTTACTAACGTAATAATGAGGAAGCCCAAGGTCGCTCAGCGAGCTATGGAGAAGGCTATGTTCGGAGTTTCTCTGCGTGATAAACTTAGAAATGAGGATATCTGCAGTAGAACCAGAGTGACCTACATAGCCCAACTGATTATTAAGCTGAAGTGGCAGTGGGCCGGCCATATAGCTCGAAGAGCCGACAACCGATGGGGAACAAAGGTTCTTGAGTGGCAGCCTCGTACCGGTAGGCGAAGTGTAGGGCGTCCCCCCTCTAGATGTAGTGACGACCAGGTAAGACATGCAGGAAGTCGATGGATGCAGGTGGCTCAGGACCGTGCTTTGTGGCATTCCTTGAGGGAAGGCTATGTTCAGCAGTGGACTTGTGAAGGGCTGTGATGATGACTAGTGTCTAATACTCCTGTTAACAAATCTGATTTAGCTTAAAAATGATTGTGTTAACTTTGGTTCACCAATAAATTTTCAGAATTCGCAGCCGAACTGTACGGTTTGGCTTCTGTCGCCTTTATTAGCTATGGATAATTACATCTTATCTGCCGACTTCCAAAAAGGAGACGGTACTCAATTCGACTGTATGTTTTTTTGGTTTTTTTATGTGTGTTACCTCATAACTTTGTACTGGGCGAACCGATTTCGATGATTCTTTTTTTATATGAAAGCTGATAGTTCTCGTGTGGTCCCATATGAATTTGATCAAGGTCAGACCAATGGTTATTGAGTTAGATAACCTATATTGAAGTCGGCTGTACAAAATTTTTAATTTTCAATTATTTTTATGAAGCGTACCGAAACAAAACGTACTTAAACCGACAAATGACTTCACTTCACAACACCAGTGGTAAAATTAAAAATGTTGTACAACTGACTTCAATATAAATAAAATGAGAACAACATCAATGTAGTCGAAGTCAATTAAATACGCATTATTGACGATAACTCAAAAACTACTGGTCGGATCTTGATCAAATTTACATGGGACCACATGAGAAGCACCAGCTTTCAAATAAAAATCAAAAAAGAATCATCAACATTTGTTCATCTAGAAAAAAATTCTGAGGTGAACACACATTAAAAAAAGACGAATTGAGTACCTACCTCCTTATTTTTTGAAGTAGTTTTAAAAATTAAAGAATTTTGTATTATTTCAAAGATTTGCAAAAATCTTATTTTTATAGAATATGGGTGACAAACGAGCACACAGTCTACCTGATGGTAAGTGGATGCTGTGGATTATAGACTTCTACATCTATATCCTCGATTAAGAATCAAAATGCAGATGCGTTGTCACTCGTGAAGATTAAGACGGAATGCCTCGTTTCCAGTAAAAGCGGTATCCGTTTCTGACTAACACTAACCATACGAAACACAGCAGTGTTAAGCTGCTATTTTACGCTGGTATTATGTGAGAGCGTGGTCCTTCCCCGGTCGAGCCGACCCATTCTTGCTGCAACCATACTACAGCCGCAGCGTGGTTCTACGTACTTTTTGTACAATTAAAAGTTAAAATTAAAGTTGCAGCCTATATACGTCCCACTGCTAGGCACATGTCTCCTCTCAATCCTGAGATGGTTTTAGGACTAGGAAATGTCCGCCGCGCTGCCCCAATGCGTGTTGGCGAACTTCACATACCTTCGAAATATTTTTCTGCCGACTTCCAAAAAGAAGACGGTACTCAATTCGACGCGTATGTCTTTTTTTTAAGTGTGTTACCTCATAACTTTTTACTGGGTGGACCGATTTCGATGATTCTTTCTTTTTATATGAAAGCTGATACTTCTCGTGTGGTTCCATATGAATTTCATCAAGGTCAGACCAATAGTTTTTGAGTTATTCTTAATAACTTATATTGAAGTCGGCTGTACAAAATTTTTCATTATAAATTATTCCTATTTCTCAGACACGTAGGTCTCATCACGATGTTTTCGTTCACCGCCGAGCACGTGGTAAATAAGCAAACAAACATTTGCAATTGACAATGTCATTGGTGCCGGCGGGGATCGAACCAGTTTTGCACGCGTACTGTAAAATTTACAGCGAGAGCTTGGCACCTGAGCTACCACGGCTCTTTGTTGTACACACACATACATCGGCCCTTTCCGAAATACAAGTTACGAGCCCCTGTCCCTCATCGTTAAAAGCACCTGCGCAAGAGTCGCCGACAGTTTGGTCAGTATCGCCGTACGGTGCGGTCGCGCGACGCGTGTTCTCTGTCTGAATCGATCGAGATACTTGATTAGTGTTTTTATTTTTTGTTTCACAGTGCAGTTTTTTGTGCGATCGAGCGAGGACATTAGATAGTTTATTAGGTAGGTGCATGCTAGCGATATGTCCGCTGGGTGTGGAATATAAACATTGACATGTACACTAATTACAAAATATATTTTTGCACATAAGTAATGTCATATTTTAAACACTATTAAAAATAATATGATAAAGTTCCGCTGAGTTTCTGACTGGTTCTACCAAAGAAAGAGTTTCTATTCAATAATTGGTTAAAGCATAAATTAATTTCAATAAGTTTTTCTTGTAATTTACTATACCATATACTTTTATACTATATATCGGAGCCGTGTTCGATCGCTGTAAATTTCATATAAAAAAGAGCCGCTAATTTGTTTTTTATAGGATCGGGTGACAAACGAGCACACAGTCCACCTGATGGTAAGTGGTTACTGTGACCCATAGACATCTACATCTATCCTCAATAAAGACTCAAGATGCAGATGCGTTGTCACCCGTGAGGACTAAGATGGAATGCCTCTTTGCCAGTAAAAAGGGTCTCCGGTTCTCTACACTCACCATACGAAACACAGCAGCGTTAAGCTGCCATTTTACGCTGGTATTCTGTGAGAGCGTGCTCCTTCCCCGTTCGAGCCGACCCATTCGTGCTACAACCGTAATATAGCTGCAGCATGGCTCTACCACGTAGTTTGTTACTGGTTCTACCCATATATTTCTCGATCATTGGTTTTTACACAACTATGCTTTAAATTAATTTCGATAAGTATGACTACATAGTTATATACACTAGAGCCCTTGTAGTTCGGCTGATAAGCGCTCGCTGTAAATTTTACAGTACACGAGCAACTCGCGTTCGATTCCCACCGGCACTTTTTCTACCGGCTTCAAAAAGGAGAAGGTACTCAATTCGATTATGTTCTTTTTTTATGTGTGTTACCTCATAACTTTTCTCTGGGTGAACCGATTTGGATGATTCTTTCTTTATTTGAAAGCTGGTGCGTCTAGTTTGGTCTCATATAAATTTGATTAAGGTGTGACCAATAGTTTTTGAGTTATTCCTAATAATTTATATTGAAGTCGGTTGTACAAAATTTTTAATTACTTACTTTTGTAAGTGCTGATTTAGCACTTGCCGGGCGGGTGACGGAAACATCGTCAGGAAACCCGCAAGTTTTTAAAATTAAAAATTAAATTAGAGACATGTGAAGACCGTCAACACATTGGGGCAGCGTGGCGGACACTTCCTTGCCCTAAAACCCTTTCAGAAATGAGGGTAGGCCTGTGCCCAGCAGCGCGACGTATATAAGACTTAAGACTTTATTTTATTCATTAATTTTTTTTATTCATTTCAGCCTATTATAACTCCATTGGTGTTACTGTTGTAATATATATAGAATAAAAATAATTCTATTCTATTCTAAATACGTTCCTCTTAAAATACATAAGTAGGCAATATTTAAAAAATTAACCTGTTAATACCTCCTTACCTATGGTAGAATGACGAAGGTTTTTTAAAACTTAATAATTAAACTTTAAAAAGGAAAAACTAAATTCAAAATAAGTGGTAAAATTAAAAATATTGTACAACCAACTTCAATATAAATAAAATGAGCACATCATCAATGTAGTCGAACTCAATTAAATACGCATTATTAAGGATAACTCAAAAAGTACTGGTCGAATCTTGATCAAATTTTATATGGGACCACATGAGAATCAGCACCAGCTTTCTAATAAAAGAACCATCATAATCGGTTGACCTCGAAAAAAGTTCAGAGGTAGCACACAAAAATACAGTAAAATTGAATACCTCCTCCTTTTTTGAAGTCGGTTGAAAACAATAGTTACCACAGTTAATTTAATAAATTCTGAAATCAGTGCCGAGATAAAAAAAAATATTGGAGAATTTAAGCCCAGCCATCAGAAGCTGCAGTTTACGGATGTCGTTATTACTTTATTAAAGTTTAATTATGTCCATTTTGAGTAGACTTAGCAACGGTAGTGCCGTGGTAGCTCAGATGGTTAACGTTCGCTGTAAATTTCACAGTACGCGAGCAACCCGGGTTCGATTCGCGCCGGCGGCACCAATGCAATTGTTAATTGCAATTTTAACTGCTGATTTACCACGTGCTCGGCGGTGAAAGAAAACATCGTGAGGAAACCTGCATGTTTGAGAAATAAAAACATATATATTTCCAAGACACGTGGAGTTCGCCACCATGCATTGGGTCAGCGCGGCGGACACTTCCTTGGACTAAAACCTTCTCAGAAATGAGAGGAGGCCTGTGCCCAGCAGTGGGACGTATACAGGCTGTAACTTTAAACAATGACAAAAGCTCAAGAAAACAACTAGAATGTTATCTTACTAGTTACATTAAAAACTTCTTTCCCTACTTTTCCAGCCTTAGGGATGAAAATTATTCCTTTAATTTGAATGACCTATGTAAAAATAAACGAATCATTAAAATCGATACAAAACTTGCGTAATATCTAGTTACATACCTAAAAAATAAAGTCTAATTCAGAACCTCCTCCGTTTTAAAAGTCGGTTGGAAAGGTGCGTTCAACCTTTCATTTAAAGTTATTTTTCTCGAACAAACAGGATAATATTCGCGTAAATACAGGCATTCAATTAATTTTATAAAGTTCACAAACCTTATCAAGGATCGATTAAGTTAAAGTTGTAAATAGCTTAAAACGTTTCCTTTATACTTGTTAACAATTTTTATTTCATTCACTATAAAAATTTAACTTTTAGTAAAACATAAAACATAAACCTACATCAGCGAACTCAAAAAAAAAATATTTCTCCAAGTAATTAACCGTGTAGCGGCGGTGTAAGGATATCCACTTTTTTATAGGATAGGGTGACAAACGAGCACACAGTCCACCTTATGGTATGTGGTTGCTGTGGCCGGGAAGATGGAACTTTTCCAGTAAAAAGGGTCTCCGGTTCTCTACACTCACCATACGAAACATAGCAGTGTTAAGCTGCTATTTGACGCTGGTATTTTGTGAGAGCGTGGTCCTTCCCCGGTCGAGCCGACCCATTCGTGCTACAACTATACTACTAATATAGCTGCAGCATGGCTCTACCACGTACGAAAAATTATATATAATAAATCAGTGCTTGACTACAATACCAAAAAGTTAGAAATGAGGATATCCGCAGTAGCACCATAGTAAACAACATAGCCCAACGGATTAGTAAGCTGAAGTGGCAGTGGGCCGGTCATATAGCTCGAAGAACCGACAACCGATGGGGAAGAAATTTTCTTGAGTGGCAGCCTCGTACCGGTAGGCGAAGTGTAGGCCGACCCCCCACGAGAGTCGATGGATGCAGGTGGCTCAGGCCCGTGCTTTGTGGCATTCTTTGGGGGAGGCCTATGTTCAGCAGTGGACTTATGAAAGCCTGTAATGATGATGATGATGATGATGATAGTAGACACGTCTGGCAGGCGGGTTGACAACCGCAGTTTTATTATTTTCAGTTGTTATCAGAAAGATGATGCTGGTCATCTCCTGTTTCAGTTTCCCTCTGTTGCCTCTTACGACACCCACGTGACCATATGGGGTACTGGATATATTTACACCGCCACTACACTGGTACAATGAAAATTATCCTCAATTATTTCTTTCTTTTTTCTTTCTATATAACCCGTATATGTCCAAGGCGACGTAGGACAAACAAAACTGCCCATATGTACGGTCGGTAAAAAAATTCCAATCCGAGCTCTATGACCTTAACTTAAAGTATGAATTTAAAATTAGATGAAAAGAGAGATACGATAATATGACCTCGTCAAGATCACACGATACTAGTTAACTTTGAGAGACTTTACATTGAAATGAGATCAATGAATGTGTCTTTTTTTATTAAAAAAATGTCCTTCGGACCGAATTTCGGTCACGGCGGCCAGTCTCGACGGAGACTAGCCATCTGCGTAGGACAGGATTATAGTGCCCATGCCCGAACGTATACGCAAGCACAGGTGCACCCTCTATTCCCTCACTCTCATAGTCCGATGGTACGGTGACCCGACAACACCAGAGAGAGATGAGGCGCAGGACCAACGGTTTTATCTGCTATCCGAGGCATGGGTGTAAATCACCGTCATCTTTCTGACTCCGTGCTGCTTCTGAGAAATTTTTGGCAGAAAAACCCAAAATCTGATTTAGGTTCGACCCGGAATTCGAACCCGTGACCTCACTATCTGCAATCGCGTTTACAACCACTAGCCTAACTAACCATTTATTTTATTAAATAGTGTATATGGCAATGACACACCCCAACAAAATACTACGGTCTCATACGTACGTAGAGCACTCTCGGAAGAATTCAAAGCGAGATGTCGTGCCCGGAGTGTTTTAAATTTTAAAGTGCTGTTTGGTCCAAGTTGACACCGTCGTACGGTTCGATAAGTTCATACGCACCAACTTACGAAGATATGCATTAGTATTCAAAAGAGAGAAAAGGAGGAGGTTTTTTGGAGGTTATTTTTTTAAGTCCCGCTTCTTCCCAGGACGGAGGTTTTTTTCAGGAACTACTGGTAATTAAACTAAAGAGTGACTTTCAATAAGTATTATTATATTACTAGCTGGAACCTTTCCTGTCGAAGAAGAAATAATTGCGGAAATATCGTTTTAAATTTGGAACAGTTATATTGTTTAATTAGGAATGATAATACATTAATTTAAGTCGAATGATATTATAAAAAAAAACTTTCAAATAAAAAAAATTCGGCACGATACGCGCGCCATTTACTGTGAGTTAAATCGTCGTTGACGCCGCAAAGGGGCGAACCTCAATTTTTCAAAAAAATTACAGGAGAGCAAGAAAGCATTTATTATCCCCCAATTACTAGTAGACTACTTTTTTCATCATAAAATTAATCTTATTTGTAGTTATCCATTAAGTACATTTAGTTTTCTAAAAATTTAATCTTCTTAGGTTATACCTTCGCGCAAGTGCAAGCAATAAGTTGACAGTTTTACCGCAACCTGATAAACCGTATGGCAGCGCATAAAATACGAACAAACAATTTTTTTTTTCTATATTACATAT